GGGGGGGGGGGGCACATGACCAAGCCCAGGTGGACAGAACCCAGGACCCACCTGTTTGTCTCTCAGGTCAAACAGAAAGGTGGTGGGAATCACAATCAAATGCCAGAGAAAGAGAATCAGCCCCCCACACACCCACTGCACCTGCCATACCCCAGAGCTAAGAGTAATTGCTGTGTGACCTTAGGCAAGTCACTTAACTCTTTTGAGCTGTAGTTTTCTCCTCTTTCAAATGAGTGTGAGCATTGCCCAGGCCTGACTGAGTAGCCAGGAGGTCACAAGGGGATAATACATCTTGAAGCACTTGGGCATACATGGTAATGTCTATAACATTATCATTATTATTATTGTTATTTTTAAATCCCTAAAATGACCAAAGATGTGGCACTTTATTGTTCCCATTTTATATGTTCCCTTAAATTCTTAAGATAGCCACAAAGCTGGCATTGTTATTGTACCCATATTATAGGCAAGGAAAACAGGGTTAGAATGCTGAAAAGGTCCCCACTCCATGCCACTTGTGCTCTGTTATGAGGGCAACAGTTGAACCTTGAACAACGTGGGGGTTAAGAGCACTGTTAAAAATCCTTGTATAATTTGACTCCCTCCAAACTTAATAGCTTACTGCTGACCAGAAGCCTTACTGATAACGTAAACAATCTAACACATATTTTGTATGTTACATACTGTATCTTACAAAAAAGTAAGCTAGAGAAAAGAAAAGGTTATTCAAAAAAGCAGAAGAGAAAATACATTTATAGTATTTATTGAAAAAAAATTCCATGTGGATCCACGCCATTCAAACTCATGTTGTTCAAGGGTCAACTGTATTTCTTCATTCGTCTGGGCAGGTGGCCAGACATCCAACGCTCTGCGCGTGCGTGAGCCATCTGGCTTCTGGGATCAGATGCCTGAGTTCCCATCCATCTGGGATCCTCAGAGGAGGTGTGGTTGTGGCGAGGTTACTTCCCCTCTGGGGGCTTCTGTTCCCTCAGTGTTGTCATGGAGATAATAATAATGATGATACTTCCTAAAATAGTCACGAGCTCTTGCTGTTTGCCTGGTACTGTGCTAGTGGCTTTGCATACATGGTGTGTTGCACACCTACTGGCTGCCAAGATTGAGTGTGCCATAAACAGGAGCGGGCCCGTGCAAGGCCCTGTGCCTCAGTTTCCCATCCAGGAGTAGATGGATGGGGCAGCTCCTTCTTGACTTGGCTTTGCAGCCCCAACCATGGCCAACTGGGCTGAGCATCGCTGGGCAGCAGCTGAGGGGAGTGTGCCCGGCTCGGCTCTGAGCCCTATGGCCACTCCCAGGTTGGGCAGCCAGCAGCCCCTCGGAGCTCGCCAGTCCCGCTTGGATGGCCCTGAGGCTGGGCACGAGTGGCTACTCCATTGGGAAGTGCCCAGCCCGGGCAATCATCCGTCGGGCTCTGGGCCTCGGGCACAGGACCCTCTTCCGGAAACGGTGCCCACATGGACTCAGCAGGCAGCAGTGCCTGGCTGGCACTCGGGAAGTGGGCATGTTTCTTGAGCACCGCCTCTGAGCTTGTGACTTTGGAACCACGCAGACAAGGCTGTGGGCCTCAGATGCAATGCCTTATGTTCTCTGCCTTACTCTCTTCATCTGTGAAATGGCACAACCATAGTACCTCCCTCAAAGGCTATTCATCAGAGAAAAGGTGATAATACATACAATAAAATACCTGAAACAAAGGCTGGTGTGTAGTAAGTACTTCACCAAATGTTGGAAGAGCCTTATTACTATTATTAGCAGCTCTGTGGTTGTTTGTGCCTTGGTTGCTTTGTACTCCATAAAAGCGATTGCAGGCTATGGCTGGCTCTAGTTAGGGCCCTTGTCTCATTGTTCACTCACTCTGTGACCTCAGGCAGCCACACCACCTCTCTGAGCCTTCATTTCCTTATCTATAAATTGGGAAAGATAAACCCAACCTCCCAGGTGTTGTTGAGTCATCTAGTTAGCTAATATTAAGAATAAAATGGTTGTCACCAAATTGCCAATCAATACATGGAAGTTTTCGGACAGATCATGAATGATACTGTGTTTTTAATTTAATTTTTGTTTGTAATTGTTCATTGCTAGCATTTAGAAATGCAATTGGTTTGTGTGTGTGTTAATCTTGTATTCTGCAACCTTGCTGAACTTACTTCTTAGTTCTAAGAGCTTTTTTTTTTTTTTTTTTAAGATTCCTTGGAATTTTCTATATAGTTTTATTTCTTCCTTTCCAATCTGTATGCCTCTGATTTCCTTTTCTTGCCTTACTGCACTGGCTAGGATTTCCAGAGCACTGTTAAATAGAAGTGGGGAGAGGAGGTTTCTTTGCCTTGCTTCTGATCTTAGGGAACTCGTTCAATCTCTCACCACTAAGTATGATGTTAGCTGTGAGTTTCTGTAGATCCCTTTATTGGGCTGAAGATCTCTTCCTTTTCCATAGTCCTGGGAAATATTTTTTAATTTAAATAAGGATAATTTCTAAATAATATGATGATGTCCTTACATGCTATCTCATTAAATTCTTTTTAAATTTAATTTTTAGGTTTAAATACATAGCATAACATTTACCATGTAAACATTTCTAAGTGTACAGTTCATTGGCATTACACATATTCAAAATGTTGTGCAATCATCCCCACCATATATCTCCAGAACTTTCTCATTTTCCCAAACTGAAACTCTATCTCCATTAAACACTAACTCCCCCTCCCCTTCCCCCAGCTCTTGGCACCCACCATCTACTTTTTGTCTCTATGAATTTGACTTCTCTAGAGACCACATGAGTGGAATCACACAGTATCTGTCCTTTTGTGCCTGGCTTATTTCACCGAGCATAATGTCCTCAGGTCCATTCATGTTGTGGCCTTTGTCAGAATTTTTTTCCTTTTTATTATGCTATTTCCTCTTTAATCATCTCTAAAACCTCAAAACATTTCTCACCCACCTGCTCATGTCTTACCTGTCATTTGGCTCCTAAAAACTCCCCAGCTTCTAGAGCTATCTAGTATGGGAGCCACATATGGATTTGCATTTAAATTAAATGAATGAAATTAAATTTTCAGGATATCAGTCGCACTGGTCACCTTTCAATACTCAACAGCAATACGTGGCTATGGCAACCAGATTGGACTGTGCTCAACACTGCCATCATCACCAAAAGTTCTACTGGGCTGAGCTGCTCTGGATGTTCCATGAAAAATCCAGAAAAAAAGGACACAGCTAATTCCTCCTCCTCCCACTTAGATATCCAACCCTAAAGTGGATCTTCCTCCAGTCTGAACAGATGTGCCCACAGTAGACAATGTCTAAAGGCTGGCTAATGTCCAATGCCCCAAGATGCCTCAGCCTCCAGTGGGCAGCTTTCAGTTCTCACTATGTTAAGAGCTTTGTGGTGCCATCTGATTAAATCTGCTCAATTGATAAGGTTGGTAAACTGAGGCCCAGCTCAGAGTCTATTTCCCAAAGCTGATGTCAGTTAAAAGTTGTCTGCCTAGCATAGAGATTCTTAACTGGGGCAATTCTGCCCCCCAGGATAATGTCTGGGGACATCTGTAGTTGTCACAATGGGGGTGCTCCTGGCATCAAGTGGGTGGGGGCCAGGGATTCTGCTCAACACCCTACAGTGTCCAGGACAGCCCCCCCCC